TTTGAATGTTAAAAAATTGCTCTTAAAACTCAGAGAGCAAATGTTTCTCCAATCAAGTTTTAGTTTCAAAGAGATTCCACTGAAAAAATGAGTCTCAGAGCTGAAGAGCAGCACCTGCAGTGGCACTGAAGCAGCTTTAACCATATCAGCCACATGCTCTGTTATTCCTGTCCCCCAGGAAAAGGGCCCTTGGCTGATGATGTTGTCAGCACATTTTGTCTTTTGAAAGTTTCCCTACATTCCCCTCCCCTCTTTGAATTTTCTACTCTTTATTTCTTTAACCTAAACCTTTTCTTCAAGGAGACAGATTTGGGTGAAACAGGTGAACCCGAGAGATTGGAATAGGTTTAAAACTAGGTTAAAATAAGGTTTATTCTTGATGAAGAGCAGGTTTTGATTGGATATCAGGAAGAAATCCTTCCCTGTGAGGGTGGGCAGGCCCTGGCACAGGTTGCCCAGAGAAGCTGTGGCTGCCCCATCCCTGGCAGTGTCCCAGGCCAGGTTGGATGGGGCTCTGAGCAACCTGGGCTGGTGGAAGGTGTCCCTGCCCATGGCAGGGGGTTGGAACGAGATGATCTTTAAGGTCCCTTCCAACCCAGGCCATTCCATGATTCCATGATTTTCCAAACCTAAGGGTACCAGCAGCTCTCATCACAGGTTGCAGCCACTCTCTCCTCCACAATACCTAAGAAAATTCAGACCCCTTAAAATGACAGAAACACTCTCTGTTCAGAAAACAAAACCTTTTAGGGACTGGTTCTGCTTTGACTGGGAGCTCTGCCAAGGCTTTCAGCTGGAGGAGGAGTGAGGCCCCTCATTTCAAGTTCCTCAGAGCAGGCACATTGCAGCGACTGCTTGTACACGCTGCGGTCCCGAGCCCAGTGGGCTGCGCTTTCCTCATTTGTTTCACGTAGGTGAACTTAGCCAGGATGTTTTCTTTAGTCGTGGGCAGTGTGACAAGAATGGGACATCCAAATAAGGTCACTCAGGATGTGTTTAACAACAGCGGGCAAAGTCTGTGGCAAAGGCTTGTGCACACGCACACGCACACTGAGCATCCACTGCACAGACCCCGGGCTTAGTGCGTCATTATTCCTAGAATAACTCCTGGAGAGGCACTCCACCCTTGTGCTTCCAACCCTGAGGATGTGATTGTCCCAGGGCCACTTGTCACGGTGATTTTAAGGAAGGGGAGGCAGATAGAAGGGCTCCTGATTTCTGCCACCTCTTCGGGAGAGATGCAAGGCGAAGAAAATCAGTGAAGGCAGAGGCGGCTTCAAATCTGTCAACCCAAACTGCCTTGTGATCTTTGGAGCTTCCTGAGGCCAGCACAGACACTGAGATAGCAGAGAATCCTGCAAAAGGGCAGCCCACACACCTGTTTAAATATAAGGCAATGCACTTTATTAAGCAAGAGTGCTGCAGGTGCTCCTACGTGCTGAAAGGTGGTCCAGCACTGCGAGGAACGTGTGGCTTTGCTCGTGGGGGAATCCAGGAAGGCAAATCCATTATACTGAGCAGAAAACTCCTTTTTATTAACCTGCAGGTTTCTGATGGTCCACAGACTACTTCCAAGGGGTCTGCAAAAAGTAACTGAGAACAAGTCACTTGTAGTATCTTAAGTTTGCTGTGATAAAAAGCTTGCCTTTACTTGTGAGTCCTCTGCAGCTGATTTTAAGTGATAAGCAATGAAATTAAGGAGTTACTTCCCTTTCAGCAGCACAAGGGATGGCAGACACACACAGTTGCTGAAATGGGGGTTTTACAGTCTGAGATGGTAAGTTTTGATTGAAAAATGAGCTGAAGCTGAAACACAAAGCAGTCAAAATGGGGGAATTCAGACCCCAGGCTGCTGCCCTGAGCCTCAGTTCCTTCTGGGCACAGTTTTGGGTATCAGTTAAATGATCATACCAGCAAAGCATGAGCATCACAGGTGTTACAGCTGAGAACTGAGAAAAGCCACCTCGACTCATCAAACATCACAGAACAATACAGAGACCTGACAAAGCAATATCGCCAGATGTGGTAAAAGTTGCAGGAATATTATTCCTGGTGCATCAGCATAACAATGCAAGACAAAAAAAGGTTGTCATCACTTCTGTTGGACCAACAGGCATAGCTGGAGAAGTAAACAAGCTTTCATACACCTGGTTACTCCATCAGCAGCTGAATGTGTAGGAGAAGATAAGTGAAATACCAACACATGCAGTGGGCATTTATAGGTTTACAACAAACCAAACCAGAAGTCTGTGTAAAAGCAAAAATTTGGATTATCATCCTCACAGGCAGAGACTTGAATAAATTCACTTTAGCCCAGCAGCTTAAACAGAACTTAGGGAAGTCTGGAGTTTTGCTGACCCAGAGGGAAACTTTTGAAAGTGCCAAGCAATTCAAGCATGTAAAAGTAATCTTTGCATCTTTGACATATATAAAAAAAAGAAACAGCTGCTCACAACTGGTGTGTGTTTAAATGAGGCTGAATCAATTTTTTTGAACATCTGAGAACGTCTCCTCTGCCACCCAGACACCAGAGGGAGATCAGGTCGGTGCATGATGTCAAACCCAGGGAAGTGTCATGGTGAAAATGAAATATCAACCCAGAGAAATGGCATCCACTAAAGAATCACGAAATATTCCAAGAGGACACACTAATCTCTGGCAGAAGCTTTTGCAATTGCTCCTGAATCCATACCCACATTTCCAAGGGAGTCTAAATAAAGGGGGCAAAAATAAAACCATGGAAAGCAAAACAACAAAAACCTCCAACGCTTGTTTTAATATCAGAGTGAAAAATAGGGGGGGATAATTTGAACAATAAATAGAGATAACACTTTTAACATGAAAAGAAAAAGCATCTCCCCTTTCCTTTGCAGCTATCTTTTAAATGAAAGCCTTTCAGATGTTATAACCAGTAAAATATCTGTAGCCTGGCCTGTCTGTCAGGGAAGGCAGTTTGAAGATGTGACCCTTAGACACTTTGGCTCCAAAGTGCTGTCATTTACACAGGTGGATATACAGTGATGCAAGCCTCTGGATTTACACAGGTGTGGCAGTAAGAATTTGGCAGGGTTTGGATAATTTTGAACAATTTAAAAAAAAAAAGATTCCCTTTTGCACTGGGTTACAGTTGTGTCAATCCACTGATGTCACCAATCCCTTACATGCTGACGGCACCGCTCCACAGCTTGTTAATGAAACTCAGGGTTCTTCATGCTGTGTCCAGCTAGAGACTGTAATCAAAACTGACACTGCTGCAATTAAAATCCCTGTGTTCCATCAAAGAAAATCATTCATTTACTGTTTGGTGCTCCTCAGTTTTACATTATTTTTTGAAAGGAATCTTAGCACAGTCTGTGTGTTAACAGAACCTGTTATTTCTTCAATTTCCCCCATATACAGTGTCCCATTAGCACGGCACTTCCATAAAATAAATGGAACCACAGTTGTTTTTAAGGCAGAAGATTTGTTGGTAAAGACACAGAACATTGGCAGGACAACTGAGAAGCAGGTCTTGTAGCATTTTTTGACACCACTGTTACTTTCTAGCTTGGTCCCTTCCAACTCAGGATATTTTATGTCCCATTGTAGCTCCTCCAAGCTGTTGCCTGTTGTACCTGGAATAATAAAAATGTGCTGATTTGAGTGCCTCCAGGTTTGATTCAGACCCCATAACTACTGCCCAAGCCAACCTGTAGGACTGTAAAACTGCCAGCCAGACGTGCAAAGCAGGAACAAACATCCAGTTTTTAAGTGTTTTGCACATAATTTTCAGCTGTTTGGCCAACTTCAGATACTTAGGTCACTCAAAATGAAACAGGAGAAACAAAAAGCAATAAAAGTTTGTTTGAACTGGGCTGTGCTCTTATCAAGTTCCCTTTGCTTAAATACAGTGACACAAATATCACCCCAACAGGTTCGGTGTGGAACTTACACCATGATTAAGGGGGGATCAGGCCCAGGGCAACATAATAGTACCTTCTGATATATTTGCAACAAAATTTCAGCTCTATTCAATGTGTTTGCTGAATCAGAATGCAGTTTGGAAACTCTGAGGGGAGGTGGGAATCTGAATAAACACGCCTGCAAAAAAAAAAAAAAGAAAGATAATTCAGGTCTGAAGGGTCATTCCCTTCAGTTCAAGTGCAGTGGACTGCCTTTCCTGGATCCAACAGTAGGGGCGTGGGAAGCTTTCAGATGTCACAGGGTTGTAGATAACATTTGAACATATGATTAGCTTTCGAGAGCTGTCTTTAGAAACCTTACATTTTTTCCCCCACACACCTTAGCCAGAGATCCTTCCCTTGAGGTTTCGGGACACTTAAAATGTTGCTTTGCCAAAAATCAAGGATGTGGAGAAGGTTTTCCTGTGTGATGTCATTTTGCTGCCCTTTATAAGCCTCTGCAGGGAAGAAGGGAACCTATCTGAGGATCCGCACTCGGGCACGAGGGCGAGCGAGGAGCGCGGAGGTGAATCCAGCTGCAGATCCCGACCAACCATGGAACAGCGATCCCTGCCACCCTGCAGCTCCCTGCTCCTGGTGCTCTGCAGCCTGAGGGCTACCTTTGCCTTCCCCAACTCCTCTCCACTGCTGAATCCCAGCTGGGGGAACGGGGACCGCCTGATGCACCTCTACACGGACACGGAGAGGAGCAGCTTCCACCTCCAAATCAACGCCGACGGCTACGTCGATGGTGCCCCTCACCAAACCATCTACAGTGAGTAGCTTCCTGTGGATCCTCAGCCTTCAGGGGAGCAGGGGAGGGAGGACAACACTTTCACTTTCTCACTACCTATAAAAAAAATCCCCTCTTCTCCTTGGGCAGGCAGGCGAGCATGGCTACGGGATGGAAAACATTCGTCATTATAACCCTCCTTTTGTTTAGCAAATAAAATCACTCCAAAGAAATCTCGTGGATGGGGAAGTTCAGTGAAGTCCTTTGCTTCCTCTGCAAGCAAAAACTACCTGAGCTATCCTTCACTTCATGATTTTACCCACAGCTTCTTGTGGGTGTTCCTATCAGAGGTTGGGGATGACACCCCCAAATAACTGCTTCCCGTTGCAGTGACGGTATTCCCAAGGGAACCACACTGAGGGAACTCACTACTCTAACTTAAAGGTTCTAAAATTCTTTCCTCATAATTTATTTCCTCATAATTTATTTTATTATATACTTACTGTATATTTTATCACATGCTTATTGTATATTTTACCATTCTATTTCAACATAGAAGAATTGACCAACTTTCTTCCTTTGCTAAATACTTGACCCAAACTCTTTAGTTAGTAGAAAAATGGTGGGTTTTTTAAGGCTTGGGGTTCTTTTATAGCATTTCAAAAGTACTTCTGTCTTGGCAGCACTCAAATCACAAGTAGGTAGGAAACATAAAGTTAAGTTATTCTTATAACATTTCTTCATACACTCAGTTAAAAATCTAAGCACACATAACAGGGGTTTTGCATAATATATTTGCAGCATATATAAGGATAAAGTTGTAATTTAATCAAGGAGAAAAAAGGATGATGTTCTTCTATTTTTTTTTTAAGGAATTCCTAAGGAAACACTTGCAGGAGTGCTTGCACTGTCTTGTTATTCTTCCTACATATTTAAAGATTTTATAAAACTTATTTTAGGTACATTGGTCAAGAACAACTGTGGGATTTTAGAGAACAGTGGGCAGGAAAATGTCATCAAATCAACCGGAGCTTGGAATTTACATCTTTGGTCTTCTAAACAGGTGCCCTGATGATCAGGTCTGAGGGTGCTGGCTCAGTAATAATCACAGGGGTGAAGAGTGGACGTTACCTGTGCATGGACATGAAAGGAAACATATTTGGCTCGGTGAGTGACCCCTGCTAAGCCTCAGGGCTGAAGGGCTGCTGTGCTGCCCAGGGGGGGAAAACCTGTGTAGGTGCAGATTTAAGGGAGGATGTGCCACTTAGGTAATACTTTCCTTTCCTTTCCTTTCCTCTTTGAGTTGAAGAGCTGACAAAAATCATCTGAGATCCTGCTTGGGTAAACTTGTGCAAAGTGAGATGCAGTGATGGGGCAGTCAGAATTCCTGCTGTAGCGCAGAGCCACGGGTCGGGACCCTCTGCAAGAAAACAGCGTTGTCACTGAAATACCTTTGCTGAAAAAGCGGGCAGGCACCTCAGATCTCCTGAGTTGTCCCAGTTACAGACCTGGGAGATCAGAGAGCAAGATCTCATCCCTCTTTCCCTCTTTAATTTGTGCCATGGTTTTTTTTTCCCCCCTCAGCATTACTTCAGCCAAGAGGACTGCGTGTTCACCCACAGGACGCTGGAGAACGGGTACGACGTGTACCAGTCTCCCAAACACGCCTTCCTGGTGAGCCTGGGCAGGGTCAAGCAAGCTTTTCAGCCCGGCACGAACCCTCCCCCGTACTCCCAGTTCTTGTCCAGGAGGAACGAGATCCCCCTGTTCCGCTTCAACACCCCCGAGCCGCACAGGAACACGAGGAGCGCGGAGCTGGACCCCGCCGATCCTCACCAGATCCTGGGCCCGCACAGGAAGGCCTCGGGGCTGGGCTCTGCCCCGCAGCAGGGAGCAGACCTCCCCCACGAGCCCCGGGAACCCGTGAGGATCAACCAGAACGACGTGGTGAACCCCGACGACCCCCACGCCATGCTGGAGGCCCGCAGGTACCCCAGCCCTCGGTTCTACATCACGGGATAACGGGGACCCCATCGCAGAGCCAGCACAGGCACACCCTCGGGCTGAGTGGCCATTGGGAAACCTGGGGAACAGCCCCTTAGATTTCAAATTTTGTACAAGCCAAATGATTAAGATTAGACCAGGACTTCTGTCTCGTCATTTGTTTTTCTAAACTCATCATGGTTTTGATTAATTCCTGAAGGAAATGAGTGATTCTAAGGGATTCAGGAGAATTGCAGGCGGGTGGAGAGTTGTGCTTGTTCTTGCTTATTCAAAACACAGCAAAGACTTTTTACCTTGCTGTCTGTTGTACAGTGGAGATGTGTGATTTTATTTAATAACTTCACTTGATTTCTGTTCTGGGCTTTTGCTCCCCGAGAACTCTGGACTTCAAGTACAACAGCAAAGTTTGCATTTTGCATAAATTGTTGGAAGCTCCACAGGGCTCTCTGGGACTCCAAGACAGTGGGCCTACAGAAATTTGAATCTCTGTCCATACTAAAATTTGCTGAGAAATGTGGGGTTTAATCTCTATACCATCTTTATATTCATATCTTAAAACAAAGTAAGCAGGTTGCTCACTCTCTCAGTAGCCAGGGGATTTAGTGCCTAAAAGCTAAGACTGAATACACAGTGGATTTTGCATTTAAAAAAATGTATTTGTAGCTATAGACAACTGTATCAAAATGTCAAAAGAATTAATTCTTCAATGGAAAAGCTGGAAATCACCAGCTGGTAAGAAAGCATTACTTATTTATGTTGCAATATTTATTTATTTATTTGTGTGGGTCTTAAATCCCACAGAATATTTATAAATATTTATAATACTGTATTATAGAGACTATTTCCTTTTATAAAAGCACCAATAAACTTGTCCTTCTCTCCAAATGGTGGATTCTGCTTTGTTTGTTCAACTCCCCCATTCCAGAAGGATTTGAGCCTACAAATACTTGCACGTGTGTCCAAAAGTTTTTGTGCCCCCCCATCCCATGAGTTCCAGCCCAAATGTGAACCTCACTCCTGCCTGTCAGCATTCAGGGTAAGCAACAAGCTTAGCAAGGAGCTCAATATTACTCTGAGTTATTCTCCTCCTTTGTTGTTTCAACAATATTCTTCCAGCTCACAGAGGGAATTCCTGTCATTGGGATTGAAGAGCCTGAGCTGGCAACAGGTGGTTTCAAGCCATGCCTTTAATTTCACTCCTCAAATTCATCATTTCCTCCTCTACTTGCTCTTCTGCCCCACACACTTATTGATGATGAACAATTTCTTGTGAACATTTCCACATTCCTAAATTTTATTCAAAGTCATTGTAAAAAAACCAGCCCCATGAGGACCTTAAATACGGATTTTACTTGGACATTAATCCTATGCCAAATAACTGCTTGCATACCTACTTCATCTTTTTTTATCTCCTAAGTAACATTTACTTTTTCCAGTTAAGCTTATGGCATTGTGTCAAGTGTTTAATTAAAATTCACCATATTCCATCTTTTTTCCCTTGCCTATACATCAGTTATTTCACTAGAGAACCACTCACATAAGTGTGAACTACTTATGGTAAAAACTCAATTATATTCCAGGTTTCATTTACCTCTCTTGTCTGTAATTATATTCTCCTTCAGAATTTATTCTACAGCCCTGAGTGTTATTAAGGTCGGACTGACAGTCCTGTAAGATTACTTTGTCCTCTGTTCTCAAATAAAAATTATTTCCCATTCTTTAAAGTTTCTAACATTTATTTCAGCACCACCTTCCTAAAAGGCATTCCAAAGGAATTTAAGATTTTCTTATCACCCGAAGTTCTCCTGATCCTGGTAGTGTGTTTGACAGCTTGATCTGCTTTCTCTGCCTCTCCCACATCTTGGCAGCTACTGCTGAAAATCCACCCTGTAGTTAAGGCCTTGTCTCCTGATGCTAATTAGAGACTGGCACATCACAGGGATGAAACATCCACTGCCCACTACTGAGTAATCCCTCAAATATTTATGTTCTGTTACTATTCCTAACAGAACCATCTATCACTGCAGGCTCTCCTTTCCCGTGATCCCAATAAACTGTACGGATTTACTGTACAGATGCACAAGAGTCACTTGATTAAAAAAAGCCAGAAGAAAGATTTTAGTCTCAGCGTCGATGAACAGACTTGAAAAGAGCAGCACTAGACACAGACCTAAAGAAAACAGGGGTTAGGATTGACTTCAGAAGATTCCAGAATTAGTGGCTTTTTATTGCACAGAGAACCTTCCACCTGACAAAACAAAGGTGAAATAACTACATTAGGGTAGGCTATGAGATCATCTAGGCTGGTATAATGGTCTCCTACAATGGCAAGTGCAGATAAATAAGGGAAAAATACAACTGGGCATCTGCAGAACACACCTGACTGCTTGTACTGCCCTGGCCACTGGCAGATGTGTTTGCACCATTTTAGTGTGTTTGTTACAAAGTGTGAGTTGGGAGGTTCTGGCTCGTAAGCTTTTCTCTGAAAAGTAAATGTTACTGCATTAGCACAGGAGCTGTTTAGAAAACTTGAATGCTTTCACCCTGGGGTATTTTTCATCCCACCATCTGCTTGCCCTGTGTAAGAGTTACCCAAAGAGGCAAGGATTTGCTAACAATAACTTCAAGAAAACAATCCCACAGACGTGATCCTATTTCTTAGCATGGGTCTAAATTTTAACCACCATTAGAGAAGGCAAAGTGTATTAGAGTCAAAAATGCCTCTGGGAAGAGTATCACCCAAGCAGTGGCAAAGCATTTAACAAAGAGGTAGATGTCCCCCTAAGTTATTTACGTCATCAGCAAGAACAAAATGTTAATTACCTGCTTGAGAGTAGGCAAGAAAGAGAGAAAAAGAAGTCTTTTAACTGAGAAGAACAGAAATCACTAGTGTGTCTTCAAATATCTGATGAAAGTTACAGACTTAGGGAGAAAATATGTGTTGTATGTCCAGTCATCTTCCAGCTGATGAAGGATGCACATTTTCAACTCTGTTACTCTGGCTCCAAGAAGTATTAATGGAATGAATGACAAAATTCAGGGCATGGCAACTCCAGAAGAGTTCAAGCTATTTAAAGCACTGACAGGAGAGTCTCCTGCTATGTAACTGCCCTTCCTGAAATAAACAGGCACTGCCAGGGACAGGCAAAGGAAGAATGAGCTCCTGTCCCACCTTCTGCCATTAACTCTGTCCTAAGTCATGATTAAAACTGTTCTCCCTTCCTTGGCTGTGACCATCATTCAGTCTTAAGGAGCCCTCTAGGAAGATGCACTTCTGAAGGAGCTCAAGGAGCCTGGGAAAAAGCCCCACGTTCCCATTTTTCCTTCCTGAGGACACAACTTAACTTCCTTCAGCACACTGAGAAGGAATTCTTTGAGTTGGGACAAAGTGCTGTGGGCACTTTTAAGCGAGTCTTGAGCAGTTCCTCGAGTTGCCACTGCCATCTCTGTACTTCTGATTTTAAACAGGCCCTTTTTAATTCCACAGGTACAAACTCACTGTCTGGGTCAGTGATGTGGTCAATAATGGTTGGCTCCCAGGGATTTTTCCCAACCCAACTTAAGGGTACCCAGTCCTTCAAGTTGTGTGATCTGAACAAAGCTTCATCACAGAGTAATCGTTCATTTCTCATGCTCATTATTCATAGAGTAATATTAAGAAAGATTTTTACCTCAAAAGAAACACAGATGAAATGGAAGCTTTATTCAGGAGGCTTTAATTGTTTTTGTTTTTAAAACAGGCTTAAAATATGCGAACGAAGAAAAAATACATGGATATTATAAATAACATAAACTAGATAAGCTTACAGAGTAACACTACAAACACCCCAGAGGGGAAAGAATGCAGTATTAACACCAAAAATCGCCAAGCAATCAAATTTGCCTAATTCTAGGCAAAAATATTCATAGAATCAAGTGTATGACTGAACTGACAGAAGGATTTTAGTTGGGTACAACTCCCCCTATTGATAAAGCTCCTTTTTAGAAGAGAGACCATTATTCCAACTATGTGCACATAAGGTTCCTCTTCGTGCTTAGAGCTTAAAAATAAATATTTTCTGAAGTGCTCTTCAACAGAGATGACAACAACCTGAACAATTTCTTAGGAAATACTCCTGGCGAGGTAGGTATATCAGAATTCCCACTTTACAAATGGGAAGGAGACTTCCCCCAGAGTCTCCCAGCTGTTCAGTGCCAGAGCCACATCCCCTGACCCTGCACCAAACCTTTCTCACTAGGCAATGCTCCTTTTTTAGGTTGGACTATTGCATTCAAAAGTTTGTTTTAAGACAACATGTATGTTTGATATCACAATACAGCATTTTGCAATAAAGCAAGAATACAGTATAGCTCACCTTTGAGGTACCATTCCTCTCCCCTCCCCAACTCTTTTGCACGGAGGTCATAAAAATAACCACGGAGTAAAGCAAAGGAGTTTTTCAAATTATGTGCTGTAAGAGCGGATGTGCAAGTGACTGGAAGTGTTATGTTTCTGTTCACAAAGAATATTTGTTTTATTTTGCTACTGCCAACTTATGCTGGGCAGGAGGACCATGCAGGCTGTGGTTTTTTAGGATGGTAAGCACTTGCAGCTTAGTGTCAGTAACTCCAGTCCATCTCAGTAACTACTACAGATACCTTTCCCATGCTTAGCAAAAGGGTGACCTAAACCCACCTCCAACCCTGCAGGGGCTGCTAGAACACTTTTGAAGCCACGCATTCAGCTCCCACGTCCACTAAGTGGGAGTCCTGGTTGAGACAAACGCACGCCACCTCAGGCTTCGACAGGTTCCCATTTTCCAGCTTCACAACGAAATGACTGACCCCTGTATTGGGGCTGACAGAAGACAGCTGGGACTTGGTTAAGCCTGCTGGCAAAGTACAGTTGAGATCTGAGACAAAATAGCCGATCCAGTTCCTCATGTAGGCTCCGTGGCTCACCACCAGGATGTTGGCATCCAACAACAATTTGGAGGATTCGCTGCCCTCACAACTCGGCTCTCCTTCGCTGCAGTGGTTCGTCCAAGGGAAAACAAA